AGGTGACGTCTTTAGTAAAATTGATTCTGTGGCGATAAAGTCCCTTTAACACCACCGCAATTCCTGGGAGCTATATATGCAGTCAAAATCATCCTCACCTAATAAGCTTAGAGAACCCACATATACAGTGCAAAAGAAAACAGAATATGCTTGATCAGAATCAGAATCATGGCTTATTAGGAGAGGATTAGGGTAACTGCACATATGTCTGATATGGGAGAGGGAAAGGAGGGGGTTAAGCTGGCCATACATTATGCAAATGTTGTAAATTTGCACAGTGGGTGCCGCTGTCGGCACCTCGTTTGCCGGCATCCCTCGATCAGCTGATCCATTGAGCTGCTGGCTCTGGTCGAGCATTTTGATAGCGGCTGCCAGCCATTTTCAGAATACATAGGAAACTAATTGGAGGGTGGATGGGAGACTCTTCCCTGCCAGGCTATAGCATTTTGACAGCCAGTGCAACAGCTGTCAGAACACCCCGACAATGACTGCAGCTGGTTGGCTAGATTCGCTGCTCAGTCAACAATTTTCTGCCCAGCTACTTATACAAAATTCAACTGAACAATTTATTTTTGTAGAACAGAAGGGTGCAAACATGGCCAACCACAGCACCAAATTTGAGCAGTGTATGGCCAGTTTTAGATCACAAAGCTGGGAACGGTCAACAAGTAATACATTGCAGCACAGTGGCGTAGTGGTTAGCCCTTCTGCCTTGCAGCACTGGTCCCCGGTGCAAATCCTGGTAAGGACACTATCTGCAAGGAGTTTGCATGTTCTCCCTGTTCTTGCGTGGGTTTCGTCCGGGTACTCCAGTTTCCGCTCACACTCCAAAGACATGCTGGAAAGTTAATTGGCTCCTGTCTAAATTGGCCCTGTATGGCTAGGTACTGATGAGAATGTGCAATGCGTAAAGAGCTGCGTAAATTGTCAGCGCTACATAAACACCAATAATAAAATAATTGCACAGATGCAGTGTGTGTTACTCACTATTAGGCCACTTAGACCTCTTGCAACGAGAGGGCAAGTTAGTCTGTGTGGAAATATAAAGCTGGCCACACACCTATAGACTTTTCTATAGTCCAATGGAAAAAGTGCAACGGATTCCTCCATCTACGCTAAACTGTGTGGATGGAGGAATCGCCTGCTGGGCCAAACTTCAGTATCTTGCTAGTCAACACTGCTGGCTCTCAAAATACCTGAACAATGCCTGCATCCAATCAGATTGTTCAGGTATTTTGAAAGCCAGCCGACTAACATACTGAAGCTTAGCCTAGTGGGAGATTCCTCCAGCCACACAGTGTAGCGTAGATGGAGGAATCTGTTGCACCTTTTCCATCTGACCATAGAAAATCTGCAGATAATCTATAGGTGTATGGCCAGCTTAAGAGAGCTGTTCTGCGCCTGTGTTGATTAAGTCTTGCACTTGTGACATGATAATAAAAAGAGAAGAAAAAACGTTTTTTTCCTTCTGACAAAGAACTAGGGTGGATTTTTTTTTATTTTTTAATAGAAATACAAATGGTTTCATACTGACCTGAATGGCAACTAAGTACCTTGTGTTATACAAAAATGTAAAGCATTTTCCTGTAATATATAAATCCTTATTTTTTGTTGTTTTCAGTACATTATGAATTATCATCATCACTATTATTAATGAAGCAAAGTTCTGTGCATGGTTTACAAGCTCAGTATATTGTATACGAGAGCCGTTATACTTTCCATCCTTCCTGACTCACCTCCATTGATATCTGAACACCTTGTAAATAGACGTATCCTGGTATCTATTTTACACAATACTGATTTTATACAACATCAAGTTTTGGTCCACATCTTGGAATGCTCTCAACAATAAAACATTTTAGAATTAAAAAAAAAATTAATGATAAAAAAAGATTAAAAAAAAAATAATAATAAGATAAGCACTTCTACCATCCTTTGAAGTCACATCATTAACCTAATTCATAAAAGCTCCCGCACGTGCAGTTAGAATAAAATCTCACTGGCATTGTTCTCTTTAAGATACATCTGCCATGGTGGCTCTTTATCAAAGGTTTTTACTTTGATACAAGACACATCTGGCTTTGCTGTCTAGTTTTGATGGCACTATTAGCTTTCCATTGCGGCTGCATTGTAATGCAGATCTCACAGGATGGAGCATCTGCTATTACACTGCCTCTGTGTGTCAATACTCATTAGCCTCCATTCACACTTGATTTTTGATGACGCTAAGGAGACTTTGTCAATGTGCATTTTCAGAGAAAGTGACAGAAACTATTAACAAAAACGTATCTTATTTGTGTATCACTCGGCTGTAGATCCTCAAATCATCTCTGAATTGGTGCCGACACTGTCCTTCCTTCTGGAGGGTGGTTACTTTTGTTCCCCATGGTCCCTGTGTGTGTTGTAAAGTAGCCACCACTCCAAGCTTGCTCCTGGGATGGACTACAAGTTCGCGTTTCGTCTACTAATTTGTATTGAGATTGTAGTCCATCACAGGAGCGAGCTTGGAGCGGTGACTACTCTATACCACACCCAGGGACCATGGGGAAAAAAAGTAGCCCCCCTCTAGAAGGAAGGACAGTGTCAGCACCAATTCAGAGATGATTTGAGGATCTACAGCTGAGTGATAATTT